TCAGATGTATACAGTGTGGGTGTTTTATTATGGGAATTGACTAGTAACCGACCACCTTTTAGTAATCTGGATCAACAACATCAACAATTTGCTTTACCATATCATATTTCTCAAGGAACTCGTGAGAAACCTATTCCTAATACACCTGATAAATATATTAATTTGTACAAAGGTAAAAAATCTATATATATATTTAAAAACTATATATTTATATGCATTAAATTATTGTTAATCATTTACTTGTATTTAGCATGTTGGCAGGATGACCCAGAAAACAGACCTGATATTCAATATGTTGAAACAATGCTTGGAAAATTTTTAGGCTCAAATATAGTTGATAAAGAGGAAAATAATGAGCAACAAAAAAATGAAGACAATAGTTCTTTAAGTCATCCCAGTATTAATTTAATAGAGCCTAGTAATTATTCACTGCAAGCAAAGTTTGATAATCTTGAGGTTTTAAAATAGTCAGGACCCTACAACTTCATTAATATCAACAATGTAATTGTAAATATATATTATTGTGTATTATATTGGGTTGTACGATAGACTATGTAGATCAAAACTAATTGACATCATATATAAAATTTACTAATTAACTTTTTTCAACGAATATAAAAATAACAATTGCATCTTCTCCTTCAAAAAAAAAGATACAAGTATGAAATTAAGAAAAATTGTAACAAATGTGATGCTGAACATGGTGACAGAGAGTTTTTTTAATTTTATTAGTAAAATCATCCAAAATGTTAAAAATACTGTTAAAACTTTGAAACGTATAGGCTCGATAACCAAACAAGTTAGAGTAAAAAAATTTCCATAGTTTTTTTCTCTGTGATTCAAAGAATAGCCTGACAGAGAGTTTTTTTAAAAATTATTAGTAGAACAAGGATTTATAAGAATTCAAAGTTGTGCGATTTTATTAATAAAAAAATTTTTGATCTTTTTTCCTTCAAAAATCTTTTCCTTTTGAAGAAATGCTTAATAAATAAAATAAATAAATAAATAAATATATAAATAAAATATAATTTAAAGGTAGCGAAAAATATTGGTTAATTTCTTCTAGGTATTAAAAAACTCTGTGCTAATTTTTTAGCTGCTTCTTCCCCAACAGCAAGATCTGTGGATAAAGAAGTTTCCTTTTGTCTTTTCATTCAAATTGCTGTTAATTTTTCTTTAGTGATTTCAAAATCTAATGGGGTAGGACTTGAAAGTTGGAGCCTGGCTTCCTGTAACGATTCACTCATGTTAGGGTGAGTTTTGATATCATATTTGTTGAACATTCCTTCAATATGTTGTTGATGGACTATAATTGACCAAATTCGATGTTTAACAAATTCATATATTAATGGAAATCTTTGCATTTGGGTGTAATCAGCTTTCAAAAATGCAACAAATTGCTCTCTAAACTCATATTGCTCCAATGCTTCAAATAATCCAAAAAAATCACTTCTTCCTTCTTCTAAATTTTTTTTTAACTGTTTTACATATTTTTTTAATCTTGTAGTAGGTTCATCAGGTAGAGGATAAGATAATACTATATGGTTAACAGCTTGAGCAAATTCAGGACCACTCTCTCCTCCAAGACTACATATACAAAACGGAAGGTGAGTCCAAGTAATCATCCACTTTTTGAATGCTTCAAAAGCTTTTTCAATACCTAATTGTACTTTATCTGCCAAATTTAGAAATTCTTGCTCATTTAAAAGATCACAGGCTGTCTGCAATTCCTTTATAAAAATTTCATCAGGACTCTGTAAAGCATTTTTTAATTCATCAATCCAAATCTCTACCATTTCAGGCATCTGATGAGCACGATATCCATTTGGTAGAGGTTTACTAGAAGTTCCTTGAATAATATAAGGATGTTTATCAGAACCAATTAAAAAATTTATTATTCTTTCATAGAACCATTCCCCAAATTTAACCATTATTAATATTTCTATGTTCAACTTTTCATTCAGTAGGAATTCTAGGAATGTTTTCCATTTATGAAGATATCCCTCAGGAACATTCCTTGAGCATTCTAACTCTTGAACAAACCATTGAGTAAATTTAAGATGGATTTCACGTCGTTCTAGGTATTGTCTTGCTGCTATTAATAGATAAAACCAACGATTTGTGAGTGGTTTTTGATATTTGTTGAAATCTTCATTCAATAATGTCTTATATAATTTCTTTATAGTTTCATTCTTCATATTCAATGGATTATCTTTATCAGACTCATTGTATCCACTATGAAGATGATAGGCAAGATTTATTACATTAAATGGATGGGGATTCAAGGAGAGACCTGAGGGAGAATTGATTTTCCCAAAGGTTGTATTGTCAAAAGCTGTTGCTGCAATATGAACAACATGCAGGCCACATGGAATCCTGCTTGCATTTGCTCCAAATCTTTTGTTGAAATTAACAACAGCACCATTCTTGGATCCTGACATATAATTTGTGTTATCAGTGAGCCAATATAGACAATGTAAGGGATTTAAGTTAAATGATCTAATGGTTTTCAACACAGTTGTAGATACATTGGTTGAGGTGCAACAATCCAAGTCTTTCATACTTAGGATTGTGATAATAGGTTCCTCTTTGATTGTATTCCAATGTGCAACACATACTAAGAAGATTTTTTTATCTCCTCTTGTGCTTTCATCTGCTAGGATTCCATATGAAGCAAATGTAGAAGTGGAATTTGGAAGATTTTCAATAATTGCAAGTTCTGCCACTTCTTTATTCCATCGAGATAAAGTACTTTTTGAAACCCAAGTATCAGGGGAATGACCGGTCAGAAAGGTAAAGACTTCTCTTGTGCACTGGGTTGTTGAAGATAATGACATTTGACCTATATTGCTAATTTGGGATATCAGAGCAGTAAACTCAGGCGTATAGGTATGTTTATTCTCTTTAATCTTTTTTGTTATATTTTTTTGGATCTCTCCTTCTGATACATTTTTTCTTTTCGAAACTAATGATCTCATTCATGAAATATAAAGATCTCTATTTTGTTCTTGTTTTTTAGTTTGATGGCCAGAGTTCTCTTCTTCGAAGTAGTTGATTCAATTTTCTTAGTCAACTTTTCATTTTCACTCTTTAATAATTTTATTTTATTTTGGATCCCTGTGGCACTAGAATCTTGTTTTCCCCGATTTGATAGAACTAAATTTAGTGCCTTTTTTTGTAGGTATGATGAAATAATTTCACCCTTATTAATACCATCAGGATAAACCATAATTTCGAGCAATGTAGAACATGCAAGGATTTGTTTTTCTGGTAATGAATTGATTTTGTTTATTAATTTTTGCTTTACTTCTAGAGCCTTATTACTTAATGGTATTGGAACATTATTTTCTTGTTCAATAAGGAGTAAAGGTTCTGAGGAAGTTTTCATTTTTTTGACCACACGTGCATTATGAATTAGTCTTTTTCTTTTATTGGGCTTCGGCATTTTATTTATTTAAACTTGAATATTTTATTTTTTACGATTCTTACATTTCTTATTATTAAGAAAAAGACTTTGCGTTTTCCTTAAAAGGAAATGATTATCAGAAAAAAAAATCGAATAATTTTTTTATTAATAAAATCGCACAACTTTGAATTCTTATAAATCCTTGTTCTACTAATAATTTTTAAAAAAACTC